GCCAAACTGACACTATAGTGATCCTATTACTTTTGAAGCCACTGATTCCTTTCCGCAATCTCAAGATCAAAATACGACTCTGCGAAAAACTCCTTCTGGTGGGGGGAGGGACTTCTTTCGGCCATACAGCACTACGGATAAGATAACGAGTAAACGACTCACTCTGAGCTAATTTTGATAGGGAATGGAGGATTTCCTACCTTCACCACTCCCTACCCACATCTTATCCACTTTTGTACACAGGTCATTCGCCCTGGATCTCCTCCACTCTTAGTGTTAGCAGAGGTTTCTATTCTCCTGGTCCAGGATCGTTTCCTTGGACCATGGCAGGCAGAGATACGAAAGCCTCTCAGGGTTTCTCCCACATTAAACCAATTATTCTTTATATGACTCGATGACGTTTCATTTTTATCTCAAATATTGAAGAAACAATGGAGTGGCTCCGAACTGCATTTTCACGGACTCTGTACTATCGGTGGTGCTTCTTCGGATTGGCGGAAGTGGTGGCGCCAGTTACCATGTGGAGGTTAAATATCGGATAGTACCTCCCGAAAGGGGCATCGAGTTTTCTATTCTTTTAACAATAAGTCTGGTTGATTTAAAGACCTTTTCGGCAGATAGAAAAAAGAATCTGCGCATTGCATGGTGCCTATAGAAAAAAGAATCTGCGCATTGCATGGTGCCTGTAACTTCATGGATAGGTCAAGGCGGATTCAAATGCTGTATGGCTTTGGGTGGAAAATGCGCGGCAAGAAGATATAGAACAATGCCCAGTTTCCTTCTTCCTGAAGCTTGCTGAAGTTTTTAGTCCAGGTGCTCAACAAACACAATCGAAAAAATTCAAATTTTTGCATATATACTCTTGCATATATCCCACGGATCTCTTTCACTGAGGGTCCTCTCTCACTGAAAGATCTCGAGCCGGTTGGTGGCGAGGCTACGTGGCGCGACCCCAGGTGGCGGATAGGGGGTAAATCGCGGACCAAAAGCCACCATGTACTTGCCCTGAGACGCAGGTGGATTCAGGGGATGGACTCCCTGTTTCTGCAATGCTAACGTATCGACGGTGTTGCGATGGCAGCGTTGATATAACACCAATATTGTTGTCGGGTGATTTTCGTTCTGGAATGCACCACATTCCATGCAGGTATTTTCTTATCATGGTATCTAGGAGTGACACTCTTCCAACAATTCATCTCTCTCAGATCTTATCGCTTAATAAAGGGGTGCCCCACATCGAAGCCAGCGTGATGGCTTTCTCTGAGAAGATACTTTTTGTAATGAAAACTCGGCTTGTGAATGACTCAGAATGAATTCAGGTGGAGTAATTCATCTAGTATGGGATAGAGCTGTTCACGAAACCTGCAGGAGCCTCGTTCTGCCAGCCCTTATTTGCGCACCATGGGCTCTAGCTCTCTCCGAAAACATTTTCAACCGATCACATTTTCTCTAGTGGCATGCTGGTGTCTGACGCCTCACCCGTTGTGTTGTCTCGATTATGCTTCTCCTCCATGCTCGGTACCTCATTGTCCAAGCGCAAAGATGCGCAAGCTCCAAATTTCGAAGTTTTAAAATCTTTTCCTTTGTTCGCCGGCCACCTTTGCACCAATGCTTTGTCTGTGTGCGAACACCACACCAATTTGACTCAAGCGTGCTTTCAAGCCCTTTCACATCTGTTCCCTTTCGATAATGATGGAATATTTAATGATGATAGGGTGATGATGATTGATGGAGTATCGGAAGGATGTTCGCGACAAATACTGCAACTGTTGTCTCAAACTTCAAGTGAGCGCGGAGATTGTGCTGCACTGACGTCACCGGCAGTCGTCGTGCCGCCAAACATAGAAAACGATTTCAGAAAGAGTCACGCCTTCAGACAAACTGTGTGAAAAAAATGTGTTGGGAATCCCAATCAGTTTAGGATATAAAGCTCTGAATAACTCCATGAATCCAAATTCGCGTTCCATTTTTGATGAACACTATGCAAAATCTGCACGAACTGTGCCAATTTCAATTGCGGACTACTTGACAAACGCTCACAAAAAGCATTAAAATGAAGCATATCATTCCCGCTTCCAGAGGCTCGCACCAGTAAACTACAGCGTCGTACCGAATAACTCTGTTTGTGTGAACAAGAGTATGGTGATCGTTGTTCATATAAGGCCAGATGATATATTTACACGAAATACATGGCGCAGAACGTATGGAGATACACGTCTGAAGGATCAAGTATTGTTTGGCTTCAAAGTTGCATAGAAACTGCATTCCCTATGTGGCATCTTTGCTATTAATGATTTAAGTTCAGCTATAGTCTTCTTTTTTCAATCGGAAAGCCGCAAAAAGTAAGGGATCAAGATTTGATAGAAGAGGAAGGCTATCTATACGGAGACATTCTTCAAACCGACATAAGCGACATGTACAGAAACTTAACATACAAGGTGAGTTTCTTCAAATTTTACTATTTTACACATTAGACCGTCCCACAAGTGGCGCGGTTATTTCTCAAATAAACAATTTGCTGCAGAAACTGAACGTCTTACATAATGTCATACACCATTAGAAATTATTGTCTGGTTTATAAGACGGTTCGTTCCCGCTTCATATTCTTACATACACCTTGAATTTTAGGCATAGAAAATGCGAGGTGTAGTCGATGAAAATTAGCAAACTGGCAACTAGTTCTAACTATACTTTCCTGTGGGAGAAATCAATTAATGAAGTAAATGGTCGACCTCTTATGACAATCCACTTACGCCCTCTAATTAGTTCTTTGTTCAAATCTGATTTTCCAGCAGATATCAATGGTCAAGCAATACTTCGTCACATCTAAACCCAAGCGTTTTTATAGCCGAGGATTCCACAAAGTATGTAGGCTGCTAAAAAGATCTAGTGACACGACAAGGCATTTATGGCAAACTGCTAGCGAAATGAATAGGAGAAATCATGAATAGGTATAGGGCCCATTTCTTCTACGGTGGGAATAGAGTTGCCGGCTTGGCAAATAGTCCGAAATACTGGTATCTCCCCATTTCGCATGCCAATAACCTGAAAGACGCTCTTAAACGCACTTTAGAGGGAACGAAATATACTGTTTTCGGGTGAGATCTCGCGATTTTTCAAGAGAAATCTTATAAGGCGATACTATATACGCTTTTTGTAGAGACATGGGTTTATGATAGAAAATCCTACCAAAGGCTCAGCCAGCGCATGGAAAAACCTAAACAATGCTCCGTTCCTGTTTGGACTTGTGCACTTAAGTCTGAATCGAACTCGACATTACCGACAGAGACGGTCTTTGAAACCAGACGAAACAAATCAAATTTGATAAATTGGAAGCCAAACCCCCAAAAGTTGGCGATCATAATCGGGTGCTCTCGCTGCTTAGAACCGGAAAACCCTCCGCAAAACCAAACTCACCATATTCTATTGTAATTTATAATATTGGTATATATCAGGCGGGACGTAAACTGTATGAAACAACATTTGTATATGCAATATTCTCCACTGATAACCTCCGCCCACTTGGACGCACGCTCCACACAACAATAGCGCTTGAACTCTTTTCCTTTGCCAACCTCTTCCAATTTTTCCCGGTTCCCAGGTGCGTCCCACCCAACGGTAGCAGTTGGTCTCCCTACTCGTAGGCCTGTTCAGCGTTTTTATATTTGAGCCTTCTTGGAACCGTTTGTAATGCTTCATGGATAACTGTCTCCCACTCTGTAACACCCCCTCATCCACCTATAATTGCTGACCTCATTTCCGTTGTCGGACTCTACCCACTTTTTACCACAGCCCATGGAACTTCTCGGAACTGAATTATGAAGATTTTTTTATAACCACTCCCTTCTCAGGACGCAATCATCCCACATGGGTCTCCACACAGTTCAAGGTATGCCGAGAACACCTCAATATTAGATATTGCTTTCCCTACTAACCATTTTTTCTGCTCCATAGGTTGCAACTAATTCACTATCTGACCAGTTTCTTTGATTCATGCATTGGCGTATGAAATCGAACGACTTTGTGAATATCGTGATGAGTGCAACTAAAAATAATTCAGCTTATACCAAATTTTCACAAATTTTTGCATTTAGCACTTGGCCGAACTACGGTATCTGGCGTTGTCTTGCAATGAGAACGTGACCCTTTTAAAATTGGACGACGACGTAGTATGGGACATACGGAAGAGCTCGAATTCGTTAAAAAGAAGATGCAACCGGATCGCATCTAATTGCTCTAAGTTGGTTTTCTGGAATAAAATCACACGTGTGTATTTCTTCAGGATACCCTTAAGGTTAGTAGCATAGTTCGCTAGAAATTCCTACTTTCCTAAAAAGAAGGCATATTCGAAAGAAGAACACTAATTTCTATGTATTGTTCATTCCAATTCCTCGTGCTGTAACGAAGTGTAACGGTCCCCTCATGGTATTGATGGCGGCCCCCCTCTTCATATGCCAGTACTTGGTAAAACAATTAACGCATCAAATTTTTATTAAAAAATCCGGCCATTTTCATCAAATCCTACATCAGGCCGTCGCACCAACCCTAGTTCGAGGTTCAAGACCGAAGCCTTAAAGGACGAATTCACGCTGGAAAGGCAACCCATTTCAAATTAAGTTAGCGATGGTGAGTGGTACACTAAGAAGGAAAAACCATGCGAAACGGCCCAGAACCTGAGAAATGGGACCACTTCCTTGCCCGTTGATTTGAGCATTGATGCGACTATCATCGCTGTGCCCTCTTCAACGCTACGCTCTCTCACCTATCTAATCACTCACCACGTATAGACCTGCGGCGAGTCAGATGATCGGTGGGCGTGCACTGACCAGCCGCGGCGGGATTAAACCTTAATAGGTCAACGAGGTCAACTCCTCCTGTGCAAATTGTGCTTCAGTTCGCACACTTAGGAGCTCCGCGGGTCCCTCAACCAGGTGAATTCTTCCTAATTCGATTTTCCCTCTGATCGTGAATTCGTCCTTTAAGGGGAGTGGACAATTTCCGGACTTGTGAACGTGAGCCTTTTCTTTTTCTCCCTGGGACTTCCTCTACCCTTTCCTAGGCTTAGTCCTATGAAATAATGCCCATATTTGTCTATGAAAAGTTATAGTTACAGCTACCTAGCTTTAGGTAACTATTGCTTTCCATAGGCAAATATGTCATAAAACACAAGAACTGTTACATTACATAAAAGCAGAAGACAATGTAGGAATAAGTCTCAGCTCGTAATAGACCTTAGTGATTACCCAGTCCTTTGCATTAGAGCAATTTGTGTGCCGCATCGCCCCTTTTGCTAGAACAGACCCGAAACGCATACTAATCACATTTGTAGGGTCTATTCCAGTAAAAAGGGAGCCTGCGGTTTAGAGCCGTCGTTGCTAAGTGAGTTGGGGGGAGGACCACGTAGCGACCAGGCGTTTGCCAAACGCAATGAAAATCGCTTGAAACGTGAAAACACTGCGCCGCCGCTTGCCCCCCCCCCACTCCTTCAATCCCTGTCGCACTCCTTGCCAGCGAGCTGTCATCCTTCTGAATTCACGATAGAGAGGCCGGGTAGAAGAATCAATGACTGCAGCGCGATCCATCGCATTTTTTGAATGTGCTGGATCGCGCGCATTGGCGTCCTGACAAAGGAGTGCGTTTGCTGAAGGTAACAGGCGACGAACGGGGATAGTGAACCCAATGAAATTTAGATCATTTTTTGTTAAATTTCAGGTATTTCGGAAGGTCAAGGTAAATTTCGAATTGTCGAGAATTAGGCTTTTTAGAAGATGCTTATTTATTCTAAAACAATACAAATTGATTGAGGTACTAAGTAGGAAATGAAAATTGCAATACAATTTTACCTCTCTTTTGAGGATCATAACTTCCTTCAAACTCAAGTTTTTGCGTCGGGGTTTGGAGATCAGAAAAACGAAATTATTTTCAGGAAGAAAATTCGTGTCTCTCCAAATTTTGCTGAACATTCTTTGAAAAGCTCATGAAATAATTTTGCATTCGTGTACATGCGAAATTTTGACTTTCAAACAATCGTAATTCTTTCAATCCATTGATTTAGGAGCTTAATCAAGTATATCAAACTGCAAGGTTCAAGTTTTCAAAAAAATGCTAAAATTTTCCTAGAAATCAACAGTTCAAGAATTAGTCATGTTGGGACTTTTTTGGGGGGTTTGCTGAACTGTTTTTCTGGAGCAGCGACCATTTCAACCTGCAAAAGATAATAGCTTCCTTCTGAGTAATTGAAATGGGAAGCTGAATCTGGTATGGCATACTTAAGCTTCAAAATTTCTGAAAAGTGTTAAACTTATCCTAAAAATCCCATTTCAGAAAATTTGTCCCGGTGAGACATTTTTTGGAAGAGCATTCTTCAAGGCTTTCTTGAAAATGGTCGGGTGGGTTCACATTCGTTCACGAGCCGTATTACCTCGCCGGAAAACAAGCAACTTCATTTAGAACTAAGAGTGTGTAGGATAGCTTTCTGAGCACGTACACATTGCACTCGACTTCCAGATACCATGGTGTGCGCCCGCCTAGGGCGCCCTTCTAATGTCGGTGATTCATTGAAAGTCCATTAAGAAGGGGAAGAACGTTGAGCTGATAGATGCTCCTGCGATTGGTTTTAATCAGTAATGTTGGGCAAACATAAAGTCGTGACTAGTGTCCATGTTGGTTCAGGCTATGCCTGCTACGCTCAAGTTTCACCTGTGGTTTCGTGGTTAGAGCCATGCTATGGGAAGCAGTACGATTCGAGCCAAAGCTAGCTTATTTTTCTGCTGCTGAGTTGCGAAGCTCTTTCCTTTTCACTGAGCTGGGTGATAACTTCGTAATCCCCGCACTATTTAACAATATCGGTAGTACGACCCCTTCTTTTCTTCAAACACGCTTGAGCTTACAAATATATAGACGTGACCCATGTTTCATTTCAGGTATATATATTACTCACATTAGGGTTGAAACTGAGCTGGTAGATAATGGGGCGCGGACAATATATGGAAAAGCCAAGGAAACCCAACAAAATTACGTGTTCAAAGCGAGGGATTACGATAAAGTGTGCCTGTTGCATGAAACAATAATACATGAACCAGTGCAATCAGTATTCAGGGGTCCAAAGAAAGGGAGAAGTGACTTTCTAGCCCCCTCTATTCTTTTTATGCTCTGCCTCCGTCTGTACTGCTCTTACCAACCAATGTGTTGCCAATAGCAGCATCGTCCTTATCATTTTGTTGACTAGATCAATTTTACGAGCAGGCGCTATCTATATAACTTTTGGGCTGCAGTACAGTTATCAATCTAGAATAAGGTTCTTTTCTAATGATGAGATGGTGACCGATTATTCGATAGTTGCGAGGGATTCCAGACAATTGGGCGTGTCTTCTTTCTCCAACAAGAATATGTCAGCTGTGATCACTAGAAAAAACATACAAAGTTCACGCGCAAGATTCAGTTTCCGAAGAGAAAAAAACATGCGAAAACCTTTTTCTATGGACGGCTGAATATAGGTCGCGCGTGCCAAGGGCAGGGCATGGAAAGAAGTGGGTGCTACGGCACTCACGTATCATGCGACGCATTGCAAATATCGGGTTTGAACGTTCGATTCTGGAGAATAGGACAAAACGATAGAATAGGATGTAGCAGAAGTGTGAGATATCAGTGCAATAAGTCAAAAGGTCAAAAAGAGTTTCTAGTGACAGCACTCCGTGAACCAAGTGGAAGCATTCCCGCCGCCAGCATTTGTGACAGATGTCCGGCGGGAATTTGAACGCGTAGCAGTCCTTCCGGTTTTCGAATTGTTTACCAAAACAAATGCAATTTTTTGTTCTTTTCGTTCTTATCGTGAACGATGGGTCTCAAGCCAGTGATTTATGGTGAGATAGAATCATGATTCTTCCTGGAAGGATTTCTTTAACGCGTGAAAACGAATTCTTACTTGGTTGGTAGCTTACCCGCTGTCGGAGATCATAAGGCAACTACAAGGGTCCCATTTTGCGAGTTTTCGACGGAATCTCCTGCTTTTTCCGCCTTTGGCGCATTATTCATCAACCTCAATTCGCTACAAATCCAGGCCAGTCTTCTCGTAACCCAGCGCTCTGAACAAAGTTCTTCAAAGTGACCCGTGGTACCACAGAAAGACAGGGCGCAGAGAAGCGAGCTGTACGAGAAGGCGCAGATACACGGCCGCTGCATTTGAACGATTCGACTACCACCCATAGCCACTAATCGGGAGCACTGCTGCCCTAGAGCCATTGTCGCGCACATTCAAGTCGTGTGAAGGCGGATCTGTGAGCTTCGCAAAGCGATGAATTCTATCCATCAAAGCGCTCTAAACTGGGCTTGCCTTTGATTCTTTTCTGATTTTTCTTCTAAATTTTCACCATTAGTATCAAAACAGGCACGCATCTAAACATATTTGTAAACAAATCTCTTTGGTCCGACAATATTTCTAAAACCTTTCAAGTCGGGCTAATTCGATGGTGGTTGTGTTCACTCGGTTCTTCTCCTTAACCACTCACGCGAAGTGCACATAAATCGCCATACACTCGTACATTATTGATAGAATTTGTTTGTCCAGCGGAAATTTTTTACGTGCAACTTGCAAAGCGAAAGTTATTACATAAATTCTGCGTTCCCGAACAGTGTGTCGCGCAGTCCTGCTTCCACCACCGGGCGATGTTCATCTTACCGCAGATTTCAATCACTAGGAAAGCTGCCTGACAAGCGAGAGATGCGTGTTTGACTACTGCCTGAGGTCAATGTTGTCCCATAATTCAACACCCTTGTGATTCATATGCAAAGGTCAGTCCGCTAGTGAAATCAATCCTGTTACAATGAGCTCTAGTATTATCATTACGTTCTATTGTTCTACTATAATTTCGGTACATGTTCGGCCTTGCATCCGGTTTAATTAACCCTACCAGGCTTGTTGGGAGTCGTAAATAGGCTGGCCCTGCCAGCCATTTTAAAGGAAAGTCCGACTTGTCTTCAAATGCCAATACGATTTCAAGTGTCAATAGAATGGGTGAACGCCAAATGATCTCCCATTATTTCTGCCACTTCAGCTTCTAGTGGAATTTTGAAGATCTGTGACAATAACATCCTTTTCAGGCGCGTCAATCACAAACCAATGCGAGAAGCAGGATACAAGTGGTGAGACAAATTCATATCAAAGGTGGCCTATAACTTTATAGCTGTGGCTTTATAGCCTTATGGCGCTACCAGGGCATAGCGAGTTCCAATCTAGCAAAAGGTTGTGCAGGGCGGTAAGAGACATGCGGGGGCAAAAATGGTCATCCGAATGGCTTTTCCAACCCAATAACCAATGGATCTCTCCTGCAAGCTGCAGTCCACACAATAATAAGAAGCACTGAAATACAAGCTGTGCCATAGTCGGGCCCCAGCCTTCAAATCAAGATCAAAATACAACACACAGCACACCATCGTGGCTCACGGTTCATTGGCTGCGCAAGAAGTTTGGCGTTCTATTTCAAAACCAATTTTGGCTCTAGCACGCTACCCGCGTCACCATGGGTGTTAGCGTCAGGAACACTGGGCAAAACTGAAGGAAGTGGGTGGTACGGCTGACGTGTCCAGCGGCGAGATGACCTGAAATGCATCAGCTGATGGTTTGATCCACAGGTTGTACAGGTTCACTGACGCCACTATTTAGCGCGCGTTAGCGTGCGGAGCCAGACTAATAATCCATTATTTAATTTTTGCACAGCCCACTTTGATGAACCAATAGCATTAAAGGCACAACCCAGGCAGAGGTCGTGTGAACTCTTCTCTTCGGTCAGAAGTATAGAACCCTAGGGGACAATCACAAATGTGGCGTTCACGTGCACGGAATTCGACCGACAAGAACGCTTTGGGCTTGCAAAGTAAGCTGCTCGAGCTGCAGCGAACGAGCTCTCTTATCAGGCCGTTGTCTGGTGCTCTCTCATCTGATGCGCTCTCTCGCCCCATACTCTCCTCTTCGCGCTTAGTCTCTCGTTCCTTTAGCACAGCCAATTAGGAAGGTGAGTGAGCCCTCAACCTGAGCGTTTTCGACGGATTCTTTTCCTTTTTTCTTCACTGCCGGCCCACTTGGCACCGATACATTCACATTCGTGTGCAAGAGCCACACCAGTGCGATCCTGGGGCATGCCTTTAAAGCAACATCTCAGCAAGATTTCTAACCGATCAGTACCAGAAGGCGGTGGATGGCTAATCACACACATATAAATTGGAAATGAACAAAAAACTCACCCTGAAAAGCAGCAGAAAGGGCGTCGAACGAGATCGGAGTGGGCGCCACCGGACAGGTGCCTACCCCTAATACCGCTAAAACTGCTGCGGAGTGCGATGCGATCGTTCTAATCGCTATTCGAGCCAATCTCTAAAGGCAGTCAGTGTGGTGCTGCTTTGATTCTTTGTTTATTTCTTTGTTTCTTTGTTCTCTTTGCTTATAGGTAATGCCTAAGTCTCTCCTTACGGCTTGCGCATTTGCGATAATGGCCGCATTTCCTGAGCAATAAATGATGGCAAAACAGGCTAGTTCGGAAAGCTCGTCCGGCCCGCGTCTCCCCTCAATTTCAAGAGGAAACAGGGGAAGCTGCTTTTAAGCTCCCTACCAGGGAAGGATGGTAGGTGAAAGTGGCTATCTTATAGAAATATGATGCATATCACCCGAAAGGTCCTCGAACTCTGACTACAAAACTGTACTCCTTATCTTCTGAACGATTCTCTGAGCAAAGTTACGGAACTTGTTGTGATACGAAGCAGATCCAAGTTCAGCACGAATACATAATTGCAATTAGCTCGCGATGTGGAAAGCGGTGGCCTAGGTGCACCTATTCCAACGTCTCGTAAATGTCAAGGTCAAACTGTTCGGGTCCGCGAACGGGGTTGTTTAGCACATAACATGCTCAATGCGTTTGCAAACCACATTAGCACGCTTATGAAGCCTCATATCGCCGAAAACTGCTGTTCTCAAAGAAATCAGACCGTTCAAGACAATTCGGTCGTGGAGTCTTATGATTGCTATTTTCTTCTATACACCAAGCAAGTTGAGCCCTTGCTAAAAAACAGTAACAGTAGCGGTAGAATGATATGTTGAGGAAGAGTCTCATAAAACATTTCGCATAAGAACCCAGTATACTTCTCTCTAGTGGCGACTAGGGATATTGAGAATTTTGACCTTCAGTCGTAGTGAGGTGCCTGTGACGCGATAGTTTTGAGCAAGCGGCCAAACTAGTTTTGGGCAGCGGTCAATGTCAGGAAGAGGTCCTGGCAACGCGGCGCTAAAAATGAAGGTTATTTTTATGTGGGCCTTCTACTGTGATTTGTGATTTGTGGTGATTTATGGAGTTTCAACTATCAGAATCTTCTTGCCCACAAAGGTTGTGCTCGTGGATGCTGTTGAAGGCACCAGCTACTAGGCTTCCCATGTTACCCATGGATACCCTTTTCGATTTAGGAGTCAAATTTTCGATTTGGCTAGAAATTTGTGTAAGGGTAGTTTGACTTCCTGAAGGCGATGGTCACACTCCCTCGGCGTGAAAACGCCTCGTTCGTGCGTTGCGCACGCTAGAATGCCGCAATGCCAAAGTCAGAATATTCAAAAGAAAAGTTTATCGAAAGACAATAATTTAACTTCTGTTGACGAGATATGAAAAAAGCAAAGACTCTGAGCGAACGGACCCGATCCCCTAGCGTCGAACCTGCAGATCAGTCTCTTCAACCGTTAGACCATCACACCATTTGCGGGGAAAAAACCTTCGTAATTTTGTTCACAGCATCGTTCAGCAGATTTGGAAAATAGATTTGGAATCAGCGTTCGGAGACGCATCAGGGATATGCATCTCATTTCAAACTGTCACTTCGACCTACTCTCCCTGGTAAGCCTCTAGCTTCTATACACCTTCCTCCTTCTATTGAGGGCTGCTTTAGAATTATGACCACAGTATGCGAAATACTACGCACCGGGAGCAAACTAAAGCCCATCACGACGACTCCGTTCTAATGTAGTTAACCTCCTCGCTTTGGCCAACTTTGGCTACTCAGAATTTGCTCGGATAGTGCAGATAGCATTCTTGTTTTTTTATACTTGTAATCAGACTTCCAGTCTATCGCTTCCTCTAGGTCTCCTCTCGATGTTCCACGGAAATTTCAGACCGTTCCTTGGTTAGAACACTCCCCAGACTGGAGAAACGGCGGACCTTATTTGAAGCACATTGATTGTTTTTTTTCTGTTTTTTTTTCTTTCACTTACAATATGGCTCAACCCTCCACTTGCTTTTTGAGCAAAATAATGTAGCACTTTGATGGCAGAGTGTGCCTTAGAAAATTCTTTTCAAGTTCCCACTATCACCCTCACCTCTTCACTGACCCTTCCCATACGGTCCTCTCTTACACATCAGATGAACCCTTTCCATGTTAATAAATGAAGGTTTTTCAAGAAATTTATGAGGCTTTTTAGGACTGTATCCAAAAACGAATGGGAACGAGAAATCTACCCACCGCACTGCGCTGGATTAGCTTATTTCGCATCGCTTGCAGTCGTGAAACGAATGCTGGACACTGCCTACTCGCAGCGCTTCTTCTGGGTGATTTTTTATTATGTGTCTCAAAAAGGTACACGGAAAAAGTTGGAATGCTCAAAAACGTCTTGACGCTTTATGCGAGGGCGGAGGATAAAAAACATTATCATTCCATATTTGTAACTGAGTTAATCATACGTTACTAAACCCATACCAGTTCCTTACGACTGAAATATGACGCATACATTCGATTCTAATAAATAAGTTCATCAAAGCCGTATATGCGCGCGACTTCGGAAACATTTGCCATGAGAGATTCGAGCTGAAAGAGGCCCACGACGATCATAGTTTTTCTGAAGTATCTGTTGAATTA